CGGTTTAAAAGTAATTTTTGTTTTTATTTTTTCTTTTACAGTGCATCTCATCACAATTTCTGAATTTTGAAGTAGACTGATGTACGTAGTGAATAGTTGTGTTTTCCATGACACATTTTCTCTTCTAAATCGCAAACCGAGCATCCAATTTTTATTTTTTCTACATCATTGGATAGAGATTTATGCGGTTTAAAATGATTTGTTATGTTATATGTCTACATGTTTTTTGTATTTTTTTTAATTTTTGCAACAAAACAAATAAGATATATCATCAGGAAATTCATTCAGATAATTCGTGAGTTTTTCAAATAAAAACGAGAAGTAAATGAATTTTTAACGGAAAAGTGGGAAACAAAATAATGATTCTAATCTTAAAAAGAAATGTTTTTGCATTTATGATTTTTTTGAGAAAACATATTTCAATTCATTGACCTAAATGCATAGAGAAAATAGGCAGAAATGTACAGAAAATAGCAAACCTCTAATCTATATTTGGAGACTTTATGGTTTACATAATTGATCTTCACATATTAAAATGTAGGAAAGGCCCGCGGCTGGTTGACACACTTTTTGAATTAAGGTGCTTTCACTGCCTTGATCACACATAGTAAAAGCTAAATCAACCGAAAATGCGGCTATTCCGATAGTGCTGATTATATAATGCGCATTTTATATAGTGAACGAATTTAGCTTAATGTTTGGCACAATTTTATGGTGGAAGGCGGAAGGGTAACTGTACTTACAACAAAAAATCTTTTTTAAAGGAATTTAAATATTTTGAACAAAAATTTCATTTTTGTTTGAGTCAATGAAGGAATTTAACAACAGGCGTTATTTCCAGTTATTAGCAATATTATCATTAATTAACATTAAAAGGTTTTTAAAATTCTACATTTAACTAACGGCTTTATTGGGGCCCATTTCGTTTTGCCCTGACAAACGTTTAACTACTGGACGAAAAAATTGGTTTGCAGTAAACCAAACGACACAGTCAGAAGTTGCTAAAATAAAATAGAACAGCCATAAAGAAAAATCTGAAGTGGATTAAATAACTAATTAATAAATAAAATTAATAACTGGCTTCAAATACATTGTATTACAAACAGTAAAAAATTACTTTAATAGATAACTACAACATATATTTTATCCACGACTGTTCACTATTGGATTTGTTATAAATCTGGCCAGTGAAATATAATTATGCTTAATCCCGATGGAATAATAAGAGGAAATCACGATCTTTTCCTAGCGGCGAGTGGATCAAATTATTGCAAAATATGTAGTTATTTGATGGATTGATTGAAATGAAACACGTAAATATCAAAGGCCAAATTGTTAATTTTGAGTTTTGTCAAATGGTTTTTTCATATTTTGAAAAAACGCGCTAAGTTACCTACCAACTATCTAACTACTACTAATGTTGCAAATATGTCGATTCAAAATGTTAAAGAAATTAAACTTATGCAGTCATTTTATAAGAAGTAATAATTAGTTTTCCAGCTTAAAGGTCGTGGTCGCTTGCGTGGCTTTCAGACAGCAGAAGAATAAGTGATGTAAAATTAAATCACAGTAGTTTCAAGTGAAATTCGGCGCCAATACTGTTTTCTACTTATTTTCTACGTTCACTTTCCTATAGTCGCATACGTAAACTTTGTGACCTAAAATGTGGCAATGCTTCGAGCTTCGAGTACTAAGAAACAAAAAGTGAGTGTATCCTCTATAACTAGGAATACGTTTATAAACTTAAAATTCCTGTAAAACTGTAATGTAGTTTATTGAAATAAAATTCCATCTAAATACGTTTTGGGAAAGGGAGCTCTTTAGCATATTTGAGTAGAACATGAAAATATTCCCACATAAAACTGGGACCACCTTGTATGATAATGAATACGAAATTATATTTTAATTGGGTATAGTTGGATTAAAAATCACTTAAATTTGGCTTTTGCAAACCGCCCAGTCATAAAAAAAAACCCCGGCAAAGCGCTACTCATGCAATACTTAGCAAATGGTCTTCAAAATGAATTGAAAGTTTCTCCTAACAGGTCATTGTATATTTTGTTAGTAAGAAAAATTCGGTTTTGGGTGTTTAGAACGTTCGTTTAAAGTTTGTTTTCCGTCTTTGGCGGTTTTTGTTTGTATCAGTTTCAGAAGTTGTACAATTTTATTGCCTGGAGTTTTAAAAAAYCAACAATTTACAACTTGTTAATGTGGTAGTGAGCGATTAAACTGTCTATGTTTATCGAGCCTTGCGACTGGAGTTTCTCYCACACACATAGATTGTAGACATMGACACACATTTCTGARGATACTTTAAWTTTTTTWAAGAGTTCTACTTCATTATTTCAGKCSATGTCRCTGGATSTCCAGTTTCGGTTTTCTTTAYYGCTAGAACTCTTATATTTTTCGCTAGTATCYTAAAACTTCAGAAGCTGTTTTGAAAGGGTCAAAAATTGTACGGTTTGGATWTTTKTATTCTTTCTTTGMCTGGATATTCCTKCCTTTACMCTTCTTTCTCCTTGRCSCTGTTTAGGCTATACGTCCTTATTAGTTCTGTTCCYCACTCTTTTCACTCTCATCGTCAGGTGTCTCAAGAACGGTTAAGCTGATATGTATAAWTCACTAAAGCATTGTCYTGAGTACSTAACAAGATATGCAATTTTTTCCACATCCKAGCATCTACTTATGAAATGTTTGCTTAAAAAATACATGCTGTGTTTGTAATTGAACTAAACTGGATTCCTTTCGCCTGCAGTGTCCTGATGTGATTACAAATTGATTSAAATCAAATCCATTGCAAGCGAATCAATAAAATGAATGATCACCCACATTACTGAATAATGAATCTTACCTTGAATATTCTTGCTGCACAATGCGCACAAAGCCAGGATATATAATGTGTTCAACATATTCTGAAACAAAAGAGAATTTACGTTGCATTTTTGTAAAGTAGGTTGCATATTTATGTATCATGAATCAGGTAGGAAGTAACAAAAATGTTGMATTTTTGGGCTAAAACTGTACGCATTATTACTCTCTATGTTCCTAAGAAGCAACTGTGTCTCTTGCATCCTATCGACTCTTTTTTTGGCGTTTTCCATATGCCTGAGCACCCAAAATCTATGAATTGTTGCGAAAACTTTGATTTATGCATGCAGAAAATAAGTGAACTGAATATTTCCCTGTACGCTACTGGGCTTGCCTCTAAAAGTGCATGATTAATTAATTCGATAAAACATTTTTGGCGTACCGTTGTTGTTCTAATTTCAGTCACACTGACCTGGCTCCTTAAATAATTTAACTGACTGAATTACCGTTGATTCCGAAATTAATGCGGTATTTAGCGATGTTTAAATGTTAATGAGGCATAGATTTTTTATTTTAATACATTTGCTTTAAGTCGAAAGTTGAAAGGTTTGCAGCAGAAGGAGAAGTAAGTGTTATAGTAATATTATGTCGATTTTTGTTATATTTTTAAGAGTAAAATCGTTAGCTAAGCAACTGGTGACTAAAAAAAATGCAGGAACTGTAGGTTGGCTGCTCAAAAAAATTTCTAAAATGTCGGTATCAAAGTATTTCTATATTTAAACACATTAAAACGCAATATGAGTTAGAACTGCAAATTTGAAAACCGCCGAAAACGCAAGAAACAATTCAATTTTTCGCTTTTACACCTAAACACAAAATCATCAAAGAATAAATTTTTAAACACTTACATAAAATATGTTTTACTGCAACAAAGCACCGCTAAGAATTACTTGCAGAAATCATACGCTCTAAGAAAGACAGCTGGCATTAAATGAATGGTACATTTTCAGATCGAAAACAACTCCCTTTGATCTCATTCATATAGACTTTTATCATTGAACTTGCTTAACTATTGGCTGTAGAAATCATTATCGCGGTTCATTTAAGATCATACGAGTTTAATGAACGCAACTATTAAATTTATTCAGATAACAAAGAAATTACAAATTACGCATCGACTTGATGCGTCTTCAAATATTATAGATTAGAAAGTATGAACGATTGATGATTATTGCTTCAATTTCGAAGAAGACAATAAGGAAAACAGCATTAACGCCTTCCAATTCAAGTGTGCGATCGTATGCAAACATTAAAGTTTAGCTAAAAAATAGCCTTAACGTGAATAAAGCCAATAATGTTTTATGACAGAAAACATCAAAGAAGCTTTAAAAGTATTCTTCCCTTCTATATTCCTATATTCCTTTAAAGACGATATACGGAAATTCTGTTCTTTTACAAAACAAAAATGTTGAGGCAAAATACTCAACAAGCCTCAATCATACGGAACTTACATACAAAAGCTGGCAAAACTTAGGAATTAACATATATTTGCATAAAGTTTCATGTGGGTTTAGAAGGTTTCAGAGTAGAGAAAAATCAGTTAGTTCCACTGGTTTACAAAATGTTTTTCAATGATAGAGATTTTAAACAACAAAACAGTAAAACATTGCGAATCAAAATATGATGACTTCGTGTTTTGGTTACTATCAAAATGTGCGACATTTCAACAAACATGAAAGATTTGGGAAAGTCATTCTCATTTTCCAACAACCCGAAATTTCGAAGCAAAACACCAATATAAAAGAAATTACAAATGTATTTCTTAGTGTCTCCTTATTTTTTTTCACTATTAAATCTGCATAACACTAAAACATCTGGCTGTGTTTCCATTACGACACTTCTGGTAATGAAAAAAGTACATTCAACGATCCAATTTAAGAGTCGAGTCGACGAGTTTAACGACCTAAAATGCTGTTTAGCACCTGAAGTTCAGAAGCCATTGCGAATTGTACTTGAAAGTTTAGTATCAAGTTAATTTATAACGGTTAGATTCAGCCGCACATTTTTTTTCTTTTCATAATGATACCAATTATCGCACAGTTTATTCAACTTGCTGGAGCATCCAATTATCTTCACGCCGCATCGGTATTGCTATCAAGAAGAAAAAAAGAGAAAACAGTTCATTTGATACAAGCCATTATTTATCTGACCGTGAATATTCGGCCTTGGTACTTGCAAGTACTTTCATTTCTCTTCATGTACTCGCTTTTCGTCGTCTGTCAAGTCGAGTTGTACATATTTGCTCTCAATTCGAATTAGCTGGGAACAGTTGAAATGTTTCCCAGAAAGTAATTTTTTGGGGTTTTCAGTGGGTTGTTGGAAAGCAAAGATTCAAGTCGTCATCTCTTTAACACTCAAAAATACTGCATTTCGCTCTGCATCTGTCCACTTATTATGTTCTGAGTACGGAAAACAGTTTTACCGGGAATTTTAAGCTGATTTTTGTGAAACGATCTTAATTCTACATCGTTTTCATGTGAGGGAAGCACGAAATACAATGAGCTGATTGAAAAGACCGCTCGAAGCTTCCTCGAAGATCCAAAATAATCAAAATGTTTGGCCTATTTTAAGCGGTCTTTGAGTGTTTAACCGACAATGTTTCCCTTATTATACAACCAAACACTTATACCATCAAATTAAGAACGTTCTTGCGTCGAAAGTACTCAAAAAACGCGCATAGTAGAATTTTGATTGTTGACCTAAAATTTCATAAGTGTATGAGATGGATTTTTTTTGAAAATTTGATTTTTTCAAAATGCCTAGATTTTTACATCATGTTCATCTATAGGAAGCAACGATTGCAACGCGCTAATTGAAATTCCCGCTAAAAGCTTTAGATCCGAAATAATCGAAATTTTTACCCATTTTAACTCATAAAACACGCTTGTAAACTTTTCATTTTGGACATAAAATTTCATGAGAGGTAGAGATGGATTTTTTTGGAAAAATATCAATTTTTCAAAATGCCTCGAAATTTACATCGCGTTCATCTAGAGGAAGCAATGATTGCAACGAGCTAATTGAAAATCCGGCTTAAAGTTTCAGATCCGAAATAATCAAAATTGTTGACTCATTTTAAACGGGTTTTGAGCGTTAGCAATATTTAACCCGAAACTATCTATTGGGTTCAGAAAATACGCTCGTGATTCCTCAAGTGCTCAAACTGGATCAAACCAGCATAATTTGCCAATTAAACTCAAGTTGCCTTAAACACTATCGACTTAAAGACGCAAATGAAGACTACGTTAACTAAAGACAAAAAAAGAGAAAAGCCCAACATTAAGCTAATTAAGAATAAATAAATTATATGTCAACTATACAATCGCAGAACCAGAACCATAAAGATACTTAACCAGATATGATCTTTGTCCGGGTATTACTCGTGAAAGAAAGCGAGCACATGCACACATCGTTAAAAAGAAAATAAGTACATAATTTTAGTTTTACTTTCCAATTATTCATTCATAAGGCGATCCCGTTTTAAACGTTTAACAACCACCATGGAGCTAAGAATGTGTATAAGCATTGAAAACAGGACGTTTCTAATGTATGTACATTTAGATTCCAACAATATTAATCGCAAAAAGAGTACGAGTGTTTTTTGTCTGAAATATTGGAATTATTCTCCAAGCAATTCCACACAATAGTACAACAGTTGGTCAGAATATTTTCGAATGTTGCGAAGACATTCTGGTGTCTGGTGTAGTTTGTTGGCACTGATTAATCGTTCCGTACGTCTTGCAAGCTTGCAGGCTGAAATTTGAAATGTGGCTACAAAAGGAAATTTAGAAGAGATAAATATGACGATTTTGCAGGCCATTTGAGACATTCCATGGCTATYAAGAAAGATCTCTTTTGACGATCGATTGGTTTTTTTGTCGCGAAAATATCGAAGYTRATTTTTCAAAATTTCGCCSRTGAAATAAAATATTGACTACAATAATTWGTTCATAAAAACGGGAAGCAAATACTTGGTGTTTGGGACCTGGCAAAACAAGCTTCTMAATTACGATAATTTCCGGCGCTTTCAAAAAATGTTTCAGAACATTGTTATATATATCGGACAGGCATAATCAGACAGAATATCAGACACTTAGGTGCAAGATTATGCCAACATTTCATGTTTTCCGTCCCGTTTTTGCTCATTTCTCGCAGGCAAAATGAGCAAGARCGCTCATTTGTACGTCATTCTAGAGAGAAATAAATGGCCTTTTCAGCAAGTGAACCATCGATAAGGCAGTTTTCTCAAAAAATGCTTGAATTCAAGAAGTTTTAGATTTGCGTKGTTTTTTTYTTGAGTTGCAAAATCCACTTGAACATGACGCTGCTTTTTTCGAAGTTTCTCAAGAACCATTCGAGCCAGATAATTCGTTTTGTTGGATATAGTAGATATAGATATATGTTGGAYATTGTTGGATAGAGAATTGAAAGGGGGGGTCATGACCCCCATGACCCCTTCCCCTGGATCCGCCCTTGCTTCCCACACGAAAAATSTTAGAGCTGAAGCCACCTCCACACCAGGAAAAGTTTAGAAACGTCCACTCTAGGAACGGAAAATGTCGGAGACCACGCGCACTTTTTATTTATTTTTTTAACAAAATCTCAATTATTTTTCGGTAGGCCACTTTGTATGTCACCCACGGTCACTTACAATCTATGAGACTCAGTTATAACTATTTACATTGATATTTGTACGGACAAAAAGTATATTTTTCTTATACATAAGAAGAAGGACTTTAGTACAGAAAAATGTATGGATCAAGTGAGTCAATATAAGTAACTTAATGCGTACTTAGTGATGCTCACTTTTATCATACAGTTAGTTCAAATTATATATATTTCATGTCCTTATCAAACAGCGTAAAATATATTCTGGTCTGATATTGCTTGAACGTTCATGCAAAAAGTAACCGAGCAACTTTGACCAGTTTGTCCAATGTTTTTCAAAATATACTCATTTGAACCAAAAATTAATTACCTACATACAAAAATTTTATGCGCTCTGCTTTATGTATAGCATTTTAACTTTTAGGTTTATTTTATGCTATAACGGAGACCGTAATATACGGAAGATTAATACAATTTATCTCAATTAACTAACCAAAATAAGTCAGTTTAAACTAGCAAAAGTAAAGTCGTTGTTGCAACTTACCAAGACACAAATTTCGACACTAAGCCAACGAATCTCATCAGGAGGCTTCCAAGCAATGTGATTCGATATCCTGGATAAATGTTAATATCTTCATGTATTTTTATAAATTTTTCTTGTGCTCACTTCCTGGTTTTCGCGTCGCAAAAGCCGCGAATCGACCACACAATTTGTATCGGAAAACGTGGGTCTGTTCGACCTCTCTCCTCCAGCGTCATTCGTGGACTGGCTAAGACAGTGGCAGGGTGACCTCTTTTTCAACTGGGTCACTGATCGTCGATTTTCAACTTTAGTAATCGTCACTATTGGTGAAATTTCTCCAAAAGTATTTGTTTTGATGAGTGGATGGTGTCAGTCTCCACTGCTGCAAAAAAGTAGCACTTTTTTAATGGTTTACCATCGACATTGACCTTCTTAGAATCAAAATTCAATCCCGTTACTGATTTCGGTTTGCTCGAATTTATTGAGAGTTTAGTGAGTTTCAAAGTCTCAAAACTAGTAAAATAAGTTCCATAAAAATTGGGTAAACTGCTATACGTAGAAGAAACTTTATGGGATCCAAAAATTCTTTAAACCTGCTTAAAACCTTTATAAAATATGTACAGAACGAAAACGAGCCCACATTTTGTAAAACCAATATATATATGCCACTAAAAAAACGTTTCTATGTGTATGTCTTATGTATATTTATGCAACAATAATGCATCAACACTAAATGCCTAATTAAACTTAGTAAGTATAGCGATTTTAGAGTCTGGGATCTTTAGGAAGCAAATTTGCAACTTGGTTCCATATACGTAATTTGGTGTTACAAAGGTTGCCAGAATTTCGTCTAGAACTAGCATTTTGCCAAGTTTCAAATTTTATTTCTCAAAGTATTTTGAGAGATTTTTGATCATTTCTCAAATTTCAATTTGGCTTTGAGGTCTAGCCTTTGTTCAATCTAAATTTATTTGCAAATTTCTCAATATTTTTTGCACGTTCCCGTAATGCATATTACTGATTTTTATTTCCGAAACAACATCTATTCTTTATCAAGAGGTTTCTCCAAAATTCTGAGAATTTTTTTGGTTCAATTTTTTGCTTGACGTCTTGTTTGGCCAATTTATATACAGCTTTATAAATATACAAGACTATTCTTCTTAGTATGTTCTTAGTTTCTCGAATAGCATTAAACTTTTTGAGAATATCTCAAAAAAACTTATTTCTAATTACTATCCATTTGTTTAGAAATAGTGTTCTGGCAATCTTCAAATATCATTTTTCAAAGCAACCTGAGAAATTTTCCAAATTTCAGTTTGGGTTAATTTATTTTCTCAAATTCCCCAAAAAGTCTTGGAGTAGCAATAAATAAATATGAGAGACATACTTTGGAAAATTTTTCAAAATTTTGGAAATTGTCTTGGAACTTTTAAAATTTTTGTTAGACATTTTGCCCATTTATGGTCGCGAACCTGTACTTTATCAAACTGTGTTCAATAGAAGCCCGAAAGATATTTCATGTATTGTTCGCACCAAACCCATCGAATTATTTGAGAAGTTATCCAGATTTGTTTCTCCAATCGCTAACTTGTTCTTATAAAACTGAAAAACTTAGTTTAATTCTAGTGTTTCGCCATGCTTCAAGTTTGACTTCTTAAAGTACTCTGATTTGTGAGAATCTTTCACACCTCAGTTAAACTTTGGGTTCACGTATTTTCTAAAATTTCTATTCTTCTGTGATCAAGTGCATTTTCTCAAATTATTTTAAGAAACGTTTGAGAATTTTGATAATTTTGTTGATCGATTTTATAATACATTTCATTAATTTTTTAGTTTTCTATCTGGTATTTTGCAAACTTGTACTTTACAAGACTGTATTCAATAAAAACCTAAAGTGTATTTTATGTCGTTCTTAACCCTCAATTTTTCAAGCAATATTGAGATTTCAGGTAATCTCTCAAAATGTTGTTTCTCCTTGATAAAATTTATGTTCGCGGTAGCGTTCGCCCCTTGTGATAAACGCGTGTTTTGGGAATCTTCAGCTTCAATTTTTCAACGCACTTTTCGAGATTTTTGCGGCAATTTAGGTGTGTAAAATATTGATAAAATGTATGCAAGTTTTTATTCCCATTTGAATAGAAATCATTAATTTTGAACATAAATGCATGCGTTCAAACAACGAACAGGACACACGGTTGCGTTTCGTTTTACATTTGCGTCACATATTAATACCATTTGAAAACCATCTAGAATAGATGTTTTCCGAATTCTAGTAACGCCACATTAAGCTCCTGTTGTTACATAATGACCGTATCTTGATCAAACATCCGATAGCCGAGTATTCGATTTTAATTTTACGCAGATCATTTAGTAATTTTGCAACTGCAGATTGCCACCCAACACACATATTTCGAAATGGCAAAGATGTATACTTTGTGTTTAGCATTCGTGATAGTGGCTTGCGTAAAAACTCAAGGTAATTTTCTATACTGATTTGATATGGTTTTGTGTTGGTTGAGTTGAGTTGGGCAAATTAGTATAAATTTTAGAAGTGGTTGATCCTGCAAGCTCTGCCGATGAAGACGACACCGTTATCTTAACGGAAGAAGACAATTTAACTAATGAAATAGTCACAGACCCCTTAGCTGTAAGTGATGCGACAGATCCTGCAATTATAGCGGAAACTACTCCAAGTACGGATGATGGTGAAATAGGCGAAACGACTACAAGTCAAGAAAGTCAGCCGGATGCTCCTGCGGAGGATGACGAAACGACAAGTCCACAAAATGTGCCAGACGTTGCTGGAGAGGATGGTGAAATTGATGACGCGGCCAATGAAGGAACTCTTCCAGATCCTCCTGCTGCAGATGACGAAGTAGCCTTAGCGGCAAACCCAGAAGCATTGCCAGATGTTCCTGGCGAGGATGAAAACATCGGTGACACAGAAAATCCAGGAGCTGAGGAAGACGAAATAAACGAGACAAGTCCGGAAAATCTTCCGGATCCTCCTGCTGAAGACACTGCCCCGCTGCCGACTGAGGAAGTCACATCTGAAAATCCTCCAACTACGCCTGCAGATACTGCAGCTGCAACCTCGCCACCATCTGACGCAAACTCTCCACAAACCCCATCGGAACAAACAACTCCAGTTATTCTTACGGAAAATACCATTCCAGACCGCCCATTTCCCTCTATCACCATTTCTTTACCAACGTTCTGGCCTAGCACTGTCATCAGCACTAACGGTTTGGATACAACTCGTCCGGCAGACACACATATTTGCAAGGAAAACGAAATTTACTCTTGTCTCCCATTCTGCATGAAAACTTGCAATAATCCAATGTCGAAGTTTCTTTGCAGACCTGTGCCCAATCACTTCCGCTTGTGCCGTCGAGGCTGCATCTGCAAAGCGGGATATCTGTTGGAGCATCCAAATGGGCGATGTGTTAACGAATGTCCAACAAGGCAACTTTTTTAAGTGCACCAATTAATCAAATTATAACTATTGGAGTAGAATTGTGTGTGCTGTTTTACTCCTACTAGGTGCTTGAAAGGGTAGCGGAAGTTGTCTTTTTGGGTCATTGCTGGACAAAAAATATCTGAGTCTTCACACACTACCTAATTTAGAGCCGGGCTTAAACAGGACACACACCAGGTGACAATTTGAAAACCTCCCACCCTTATATTTATTTCGAGAAGTTTTCATATTTTCGGATCCATGGAAAGAATGTGCTTTTTCAACCGTTGATAATTTTGGATGCAGGGACGGATTAAGCAGCAATTTAGAATGCAACGCATGATTTTGCAGATATATTTTCTCAATTACCAAAAACAACTAATATTAAATTGCAAATGTGCTGAAATTTTTGCCATATTCCTACAGCTTGGTGGGAATTTCTTTGTGTACTTTATCCACATTAATCAGCAATTCGCCCTTTCCTTCCACGTCTTTATCACTGACACCAAACAGTTCATTGATGGCATTGGCTACCTCAACATTATCTAAGATTGAAACATGGTTGCCATCAAACACTCGAACTTCCACAGGTTTGTTGCAATACTTGGACAGTCCGTAATCCTCTTCCGGAAGTTTAATGCTGACGAGAGTTGGCTTGAACAAAATCACTCTCGACTCGAGATTTATATCAGATCCAGATTTAACAATGGCTTTTATCCTTTTGTATAGGCAAATCGCCATTGCTCGCTGGTATTTATCATTTTGATCTATTTTAGTACTTTGGTCCGTAGTTGCTGCTGTGATTTGCTGACACAAGTCTATGCGTTCCTCAAATGTATTGAGTTTGAACAGTGATGCCTGAAATAACAGGTTATTCAGAAAAGTAGCCAGTTAAAGTATGTAAAAAGTAAAGAAATGAAGTCACTTACAACATGTTTGGAAATAATATCGTAGGAAATTCGTAAGGACATCATGCGGATTAACAAACTGATCTGCAATTTATCATCTGAGTCCACTTCTAGGATTGTAGCCAAACTATTGAGATAATCCGGACTGGAATCTATGAGAAGTAAAGTTCCTCGATAACCTTTCTCTTCCAATAATGCCACTAGTTCCAAAGCGACCATTCCTCCAAAGGAGTATGCAATTATATTGAATGGTTTTGATTTTGATAGCTTTCCCTCCACTGTCTGAAATAATTGCGTATTATTAGCACTCAGCA